TTTTTGCCATTGTTTTCATTTCTGCTTTAACTTATATTAGTTTTCCCAATCAAAGCCTTTATTATACACACCTTTAACCACATCATCTCTTGCATCTGGGCCCAGTATCTGTAGCAGGCGCATTTTTGGTGTAAGGAAGGTTGCAATCCTGTACATCATATGGAGAGGTGTTGCTGTTTCACTCGTCCCCATCAGTTCTTCCAGGTGTGAGACACACACTGGCAACTTCCGAGAGTAAGGGTTCAAGGGTTGCTGCTTGGCAGTGTTCAATTAGTTTGATACATTTACATTATCAATTAGTTCTATACATTTATTTGTAATCTCTTGTTTGACGTGTGCAGGCAGAATTGTTTTTTCTACGAATTTCAGCTTCGTCTGACCTGGGAGTACAGCAACAGGGCAGGCGTGTCGCCTCAATCCTGATGTGCCAGATTTGTGCCCGTTGTACACTAGCGCTTTGCCGCACTTCACATAACACACAAAGTTCAGCTCTTTACCCTCTTTGTTTCTCTTTCTTCCATATCTCCGATTTCCCCAATTTTAGTTTTGTTTTATATTATATTCTCCCTTCGCAATTTTATTAACAACATCAGCTGCATCCTCCATCCTGCTAAGCTAACAATTTTGGGACCCGCTGTCTATTTTTATCCCGCCCACTATCTCTGTTGCTCCCGCGGCAACCTAAAGCCCGCCCAATCCCGCGAGATTTGCGTTGGGTCCCGCGGGATCCACGGGATCCCGCTCCCAATGCAGGGCTCTACTGTATACTTCTGCCAACTAAAACTGAAAATACATGTGAACTTATTTCACCACTCAAAGCATTGCTATCCTGTATTCACATTCGGAATGCATGCACTTACAGAGAAATATGAAACAAATTGTATCGCATATCAGTTGAAGTGAGCACAGTGTTTTATTTTTCAGGATGAGTTCGGTGGCAACTCTATCAGCCATATCAAACCTGTTCCCTGGAATGAGCAGTGAGGCAATCCAGATAAGAAAAAAACAAAAAAAAAAACAGCTAGAACAACATACTGTATCGTTTCTAGTGCTGTCCCCTATGTCAGAAAGTGTTTTTATATGATTTGTTTATTACAGTTCAATTACAGTTTGCAGTCCATTCATTTTTCATGTCCAGAATCTGTGTAAGAGGAATCCTAAGGGAATTTAAGCAAAAATTGATGCTTGAAGTAAAGAAATCACAACTTGAATTATATCGTGATAATCATCAATATTAGCTGATATGAAGAAAAAAAAATACTCAACAAAATATTTTGCCCAGCCCTAAACACAGTGTTGGTGTGTTACACTAAAAGAAACCTTACATTTATTGCTAACATTGATTAATCATATTACGGTTAATGTTCATCTTCTAGATTGTATTAATATTGTGTTATTCAATGTGCAGCTCATTCAAGGCTAGTTAAGGCTTCCTCTGGAACCTAAACCCAGTATACCATTTTTTTTTTTAAACTGTTTGGAAGTTGCAATGCAATACAACAGATTGTCATCAGGCAGTAGTGTAGTGCTGTCTTAAGATGCCGGGTACTGTGGAAAACTTTAGTAAAACTGATACAAATAACTTACAGTGAAATAAACTACTTGTTCTGTGTCCTCTTGACTTCTGTACATAGACTTCTGTCTGGCATAGAATAAATGTTTACATTTCAGCTAATGCTTGAAGGTGCATTCTGGTACATCTTTTGGTATATCTGGTTGGTATATTTTTTAAATACCCAGCTCTTTTAAAGAACCTCATGACTTCTTCTTCCTCCCCACAGATTTCTGTCCTCATGCGCCTTTTGTGGTGTTCATAGACAGCCCACCCTTTGCAGTTCTCTCTGCTACAGTGCTGTTACCTTCTGCTTGGACATGTCAGCAGCACAGATGCAGAGTGATGGTGATCAGCATTGGGGTTGCCTGGAGTCCCTAGGGCTAAGCCCACGGGAGCTGGTAATGGCTGAGGCCTTACAGATGGAGTATGATGCTCTTTCCAGGCTCAAGCAGGAGGGCAAGGTGCCATCTACTAGGAGTGCACCTGAGCCAGGCAAGGAGCCCTGTGATGTTGAGAGAACAGCGCTGCATGATAGTCTCAGCCCATGTGGGGGTAACCTGATATGCGGTCTTTCAGGCTCTGACCCCATGCTCCACCTCCAGCCTGGTGTATCCAGTCCTTTGTCAACCACCCTCCAGCCTCGAAACTACTCCAAGGAGCCTCTCTACATCTTAGACAGTCCTGCCAAGAATGAGTATGAGAGTTCACATATACTGTCCCCCAAGAACATTACCCCATCTGATGACCCCCCACCTGTAGTGCCACCTCGCAACCCTCTTTCCTCTAGTAACTCCCAGGTGTGGAGTGGTTCAGTGCCCAGGGATGTGAACCTCTTCTCCCCGGAGGTGGAACTGCACAAAGTCTCCAGTGGGGAGCCTCTGAACTATGAGGACCTGAATGAAGCCCTAACACGCCTGAATGAGGTCTCTCCACCAGCACCGGGCCGTTGGGGCAATGGGGACACGGCAGGAAAGCCTGTGACTCGTAGCAAAACCCTCCCCCCAAAGGTGCCTCCTCGCACCTACTTACCTCTCCGGAAGAGCAGCAAGAACCAGCGCAGAGTGTCAGCTGACCCGGTAAAAATCCTCTGATGCCGTTTGAATGATCTTGAGCTCAGTATACCCCATTTTGTGTCTTATCATCTTGAATGTCTCTTTTCTATGGGTGAAAGTATTAGTAGTTTTTTACAGTAACTAAGGTTTAAGCATTTCACTTGAAGAAAAAAGGGTGATATGTTGTTACCTGTCCTGAAAGCCCCCAGACTTAATTTGTAGAATTCTAAATGGAACTTTTCACCAGTCACATATGATCATAGACACTACATTCTGGCTATCATTGATTCTTTTGGGTGGGATACCCAAGGAGAGTGTAATTGGGCCTTCTTGTCTGTGACAGGTGACCATTGGCTCAAGACTCAATGGCTTTGGCTATGAGCTCTTCCAAGTGTATGAAGAAAGGGATGAGGAGGTGGCCGCCTTCTGCCACATGCTAGATGTGTGAGTCTTGCCAATTCTCAATAAAATATTTTTGTAAAGTTTTAAAAATGGTAAAAAATATTTGATGCTGGTTTGCTGCTAGAATTAGCAAAATCTCCCCCTACCTATTTTATTAGAGTGGAGTTTCCAGTTAAAAATATGGTTTACTGGTAATTACTTTTTGGCAAAAATTGAGTTGATTAAAATATATTTTGAAGGAAAAAAGAGAAAAGATCAATTCCTGTCCAGAGCCCCACTACTTTTAAATTTTAATATAGTGGAAATTGTTGTGCCCTTTTTTGCTTGGGAGATGCTCCAAGTCAGGATACATTGTTAGAAGATAGATAGATGTTCAAAAAATATGGAAGATTTGGCTCAGGAGAGATGTTAATTGTTGGCAGGTTGCGGTTAGACTACCCTTCGAGTGACCGCTCTAAGAACACAGGCTTCGTGTGGAGTCCTTGTGTGGCTCAGGATGAGCTGCAGCAAGGCCTGGGTGTCAGTGTTAAAGTCACCGTCATCAGCGACCACTTCAGAGAGCCCCTGATTTTCACCTGTGATGGTAAGTGTGGAAAATACGGTGGTAGCAAAAATAAAAGTTGTCATAAAATTATTTTTCCTTTTGCATCCACTCTGCAACATGCCATGATAGCGCAGTGCTCATCAACCAAAACAAAGTGTAGACACTAAATATGCAGTTCTGGTCAACATTATTGGCACCCCTGAACTTTTTGTATATCATGTGTAATATCATCAGAAATAACCTGAAATGTACAGAGTTTGAATCATCAGATATTTTTTGTAATATTTCCAAAGTTATTTAACAAAAGTTACCTTTTCAACTTAAATGTTGAGATTTCACGGAAATAAAAAACGCAAAATATGATCTGGAATATCTTGTTGCACACCCCTTTGTAAGAATGAAAGCCTCCAGACTTTTGTTGTAACTCTATAAGCGTCCTGCACCTGTCTGCTGATGGTTTCTCCCACTCTTAAATTGTAATTTGTCACAAACTTGTGAATGTTTTCAGGATTGCTTTTTAGATCTTTCCAAAGATTTTCAGTCCAATAGAGATCAGGACTTGTCCTTTTGTATGTGTGCTTTGAATCAATATTCTGATGGAGGACCCATAAACTTAGACTCAAACCTAGCTTTTTGACATTGGGCAGTCCCACAACAATACAAATCCTCCACCATATTTGACTGTAGTTAGTGTGTCATTTCGCCACTCTTAAACAAATTGCTGGTCTGCATTGACAAAGAATGCAATGCAATGCAATGCAATTTTATTTATATAGCGCATTATCACAACATTAAGAACATAAGAACTATACAAACGAGAGGAGGCCATTCGGCCCATCGAGCTCGCTTGGGGAGAACTTAACTAATAGCTCAGAGTTGTTAAA